GTCAGTAGAAAGAATGAAAATCACACAGTTGTGGTCAGAATATCACCCTTAAAGACAGCTAAAAAGATAAAAGCCTCTTGGCTTTGCCAAGTGGTGTTGGTCCTGGATCTCTGCAGGTACCAATAAGAACGTTTTCTTCTATTTTCACACCTGCAGAGTGCAATGCAAATGTGTAAAAAAAAAAGAAAAAAAAAAAAAAAAAAAGTGATTTTTAAATGTGCGATCTTTAAAGCAGCGCTGAGCCCATGGCATAGCCATACCACTGCTTTTGAAATGTTCATCTTAATACTTGTATAAAAGGAAGGGTTGCTGCTTTTGTAAAAATTGCTCTGGCACATATTATGTGACCACTTTAGATAGCAATGCTTTTTCGAGTTCTCCTTTAAATATTACAGAATACAGGCTGAAACAAGTGTCAGGCTAATTCGGGAAATGGTCAGTGGGACATTAAGAATGTTAATGCAATTGAAGAAGAGAGAGTCATTAATGGAAATGCTATTTTCTATGTCTCATGCTTGATACAGCTGCACGATCTGGACCAGAATGAAAGACAACAAGCTGTACCATTCTCCAGTATTGGAAAGAGTTTGCTTATTGTTCAGATGAACAGTGTTTTACAGTATGAAGTATTACAGAGAAACCAGGTGTCCACACATGGAAACCAAGAAATAGGTGATCCAAAGGACCTTAACACAGGTGATATAAATCATACAAAAGCTTTTAAAAAAGGAGGTCACACAATGGCAACTTATGGCAATATACTGTATATACATATTTAAGCATCGGGAGTTCTGACTTCTAATGCCAGCCAGAGACAATGGCGTAGGATTTATTAAATGTATTGCAATGAATCTGCGCTGTGATAAACACGTGTGGCTGCTGGTAAACAAAGTTCGGCATACCCAAACCTAAAAACGTACAATGTTGTGAAATGGTGCAGCGCCAGTGAATATAACAAAAGCATACAAAAATAAATAAATAGTGATCAATGTGCCAAACGCGAGGTCTCTCTTAAATCAAAGTCCATATAAACTCTGATAATAAAGATCTTCTGCCAGGGTGGATAAAAATCAATGATTTTTTTAAACAAATCAAAAAAATCGGATTTTTTTTATTTAAATCTGATTTTTTTTATTTAAATCGATTTTTTTAAATAAAATGCTTTTTGAGGAAAATATATTACCATCCAACGGTTATTCCATCATGAAATAAAGATTAGTTTTTTAATTATGTAGAAAAAGGCTATATAATTAATTTAATTTTTTTGGTAAATAAATTCCATTAATCCATTCACAATGTCATGCTCTTCCAGAGGTTTTTGTAAGATTATTGGGCAGTTTCTCTCCCTACAAGATATTATCACAGATGCTTGGTTTACTTTTGCAGTTCTCAAAACTGAATTTTGACTCAGCGGAGATCACATGCCTCTTCTTCACAGCAAAAATGTTATAACATGAACAGAGTTAAGAAAAAGACCTTAATCCTAACTTCTACAAACCTATGAATACAGAATCAACCCCTTCAGTGCTAAATTTCAAGAAGTTCAGTGAATAGAATCGAAACAATATTTTTCTGATTGTTTGGAGTGGAATAGATCTGCACAAGAAGAAAGTGAAGCTAAGTGTGAGGAGGAAGGGGCTGACAGTCTAAGTTTCTTAAAATATATATATTTTGTTTAGCCAAATTAGTTAACAAACATGGATGTTTGTTTAAGCAAATAACATATGCTGGAATGTTATTGTTTCAGTTGAATAAATCTATTTAAATTGTTATTATTAAGGTAATGATTATTTTTTCTCCTTCCTAAATACAACAGAAAAGTTGTCCAAATATGCTACTTGCATATTAAAGTTATACCAGCAAGAATTAGTCTATGTAGAAAACTAGGATTTAAATCAAGCCTTACTGACTAGTGATTTAAATCGTGATTTAAATCAGTTTGATTTAAAGCAAATCCACCCTGCTACAAATCTCTACATTAATTGCAATAGCAAAACCATAATGCTGCAACCATGTAAAAATGAATAAATCTGATGAAAAATATTTTCTAAAAGACACTTAAATTATTTTTACAAAAATTCTTGCTTAAAACAGACTACTAGTCCCTTTTTAAATTCTTACTGCATATTAAGTTTGAACTCTATCACTTGTTTTTTCAGTTTGGCTACTTAGTTGGGAGAACAGTTGGAAGGCTCTGCTGTAAATAAGGATTACTATACAGTGATTAAATAAAACTTTATAGAATTAACCGTTTGTGATATGCAAGCCGCGGACCCATTCAGGGGTGTCAAACTGGCGGCCCTCCAGCTTAGTCTTTATGTAGAAAACTATGATTTAAATCAAGCCTTACTGACTAGTGATTTAAATCGTGATTTAAATCAGTTTGATTTAAACCAAATCCACCCTGTCTTCTGCCATCCAGTAGATCCTTGTAGTGTAAGGAAAATAGCACCTTAATCAAATGCACACTCAGCAGACCAGAAAGCTGCATTCATATTTGAGCGAATATGTAGCTTGAAGCTCCAAAAACGCTCAAACTAAAAAAAAAATCAATTGTTCTCTATAGAGCCTATTCCTGCAATAAGGTGTGAACAGGCACCCTAGAGAACAATTGATTTTTTAACCACTTCAGTACTCTTTTACCCCATTCCCAGTCCAATTTTCAGCGTTCAGCACTCTCATAGTTTAAATGACAACAGCACGCTCATGGAACACTGTACCTAAACTATATATTTTTTTATCATTTTGTTCCCACAACTAGAGCTTTCTTTTGGTGGTATTTAATTACCACTGGGTTTTTATTTTTTTGTTAAATGGAAAAAGACTAAACATTTTGAAAAAAAAAAGTTTTTCTAAATTTAGGCCAAAATGTATACTGCTACATTTCTTAGGTGAAAATAACCCAAATTAGTGTATATTATTCATTCTGCAGGAAAGTTATAGAGGCCACAAACTGTGGCGTATATATGAAAATCAATCAATACTGATGTACTGACGGCCTAGCTCACTTTTTGAGGCCCAAAAATATTAAGACAGTACAGATATCCCCCATATTACTCCTTTTTGATAAGTAGACAGTCTGCGATATTTAGTAAGAGGCATGGTGAGCTTTTTTACGTAATTTTTTTGTCACAATTTTTTGGAATATGAAGAATGTAAGGAAACATTTTAACCATTTTTTTCTTTTTTAAAAACATACTGTCACCAGTGTAGAACAGCATCATCACAAGACTGGCGTGGTGGTGATCAGGGACATTGACTGGTGACTGTGTGGGAAAAAAATATACAGTAATTGTTTTTTTTTATTACTTTTTTTTTCTACAATCTTTTTTTTTTTTTTTTATAAAACACTGTGACCAGAGTAGTATAATGATACCATAGTAACACTGAACTACTCTGGGGAAGTGATCAGAATTTTTTTTTTTTTTTTTTTACACATAATTGCCTATAGCTGTGAATTTCACTGCTATTGACAGGCATTTAACTGAATGAAATCGATTAATTCTGTGTTTTTTGTTGTGATTAGCTGTGATTGGCAACAGCTAATCACATGACAGATGGGCTCTGATTGGCCTAGTCTGTTTCATGTGATTACTGTGACTAATCACAGCTAGCAACTCAATTGTATACAGTGGATGGCATGAAAGGAATCCATCCATTGTTTACAATTGTCATGTGACTTGCTGTGATCAATCACAGTGGTCACATGGTACAGAGATTGGTCATCGGCTGTGTCCAATGGACACAGCCGGTGACAGATCTTTCTGCAGTGTGGCCCCGCGCAAGCCAGCGATATGGGAGGACATCATATGATGTCCACCTCCGATCTACTTAAGTCCTGCTCCACTGTTATTTTGTTATTGGCCGCATGGGAACTGGTTAAATGAGTGTTTTTGCAGCTTCAAGCTACAAATCACTCAAGTGTGAATGCAGGATAAGCTGTAATAACTACAGCAGACACAGCATGTTTCTCAGGCACAAATCGTCCCCAGGTGTATGCACTTCCACTCTGGAATCACTTCTCTTAGGCAGCAGCAAAAGACAACAGAGTTTCAGTGCTGACGTCACACCGCTGCACGATTCCAGGTTGTCAGCGGCTCTTTGGGTTTTTACTTTTTCTCACTGGCAGATTGCTTTAACTGGATGACTGGATCAGTTTTACAATAAACCTTTATTTAATCTACTACACTATCACTGGCTTTCTGTTGGCTCCTCGGTGAACTCTATCTGTTCCAGTGGGAGTTGTCTTTTGCTGCTGCCTAAGGCTACGTTCACACTAGCGTTGTGTTGCTGGCAGCAGAGAAGCATTTGGGAAGCGTTTTTTTTACCGCTTCCCAAACGCCTCTGACAATTCTGCACATTGCAGCACATGGTGCTGTTCTAATGGGAGCGTTAGCGACGCGGCAAAATGGACGCCTCTGATCGAGTCAGGAGGCGTTGAAGCCTCCTATTCTAGTCTATGGTGCTGCTACGCAAACGCGCGGTTGCAGGGCGTTTGCGGAGCGGTAACACCATTTAAACTTCATTATAGGCGTTTGTGGGGCGTTTTTAACGCTCGGCAAACGCCTAGCAACTTCCGCTAAACCGCGCATGCGGCGTTTGCGGAGCGTTAAAAAATGCTCCGCAAACGCCGGACCAATGCTTGCCAAACGCTATAGGGCGTTTGGCAAGCGTTGGTAAAACAGTCAAGTGTGAACGAGCCCTAAGAGGAGTGATTCTGGAGTGGAAGTGCATACACCTGGGGAGGATTTGTGCCTGAGAAACATGCTGTGTTTGCTGTACTTATTACAGCTTATGGTCTTGTGAGTGTGCGTTTAAGGTGGTGTTTAGGTGTTAAGGTCAGTGTTTTTGAGTACCGTCTTTTTCGCTACATAAGACGTGCTTTTTTCTCTCCCAAAAATGGGGGAAAATGTCTGTGCGTCTTAGGGAGTGAATATGGAACGGCCGCCACGGTATTCCCCCCGTCGCCACCGCGTTAGAATACCGGGCTGGCCGCTCGGCTCTACTGTGCAGAAGAACCTGTTCCTCGATCCAGCGATGTCCTGCTTTCATCGGGCCGTCTTCTCTCCCTGGCACTGGCATCTTCAGTGTGGGCACCTGGCTGTGACAGCCTGCGGCTTCAAAGCCGGGTTCCCACTGCGCATGCGCAAGTAGCGCTGTGCTTTGTGAATGGCCACCTGTACTCTTCTGCGACCTGTCACGTGTCCCACAAGACTACGGGGAGGACAACTTCGGGTACCGCTCCTCCCCCTTCTGCTCCCCAAAGGTCTGCAGTCTCTGGTCATCTCCTGTACTATGTCCGCAGTGTCTGGTCATCTCCTGTACTATGTCCGCAGTCTCTGGTCATTCCTGTACAATGTCCCACAGTCTCTGGTCATCTCCTGTACTATGTCCCGCAGTCTCTGGTCCACTCTCCAGTCTCTGGCCATACTGTACTATGTCCGCAGTCTCTGGTCATCTCCTGTACTATGTCCGCAGTCTCTGTCATCTCCTGTACAATGTCCGCAGCCTCTGGTCATCTCCTGTACTATGTCTGCAGTCTCTGGTCTCTGGCAGTCTCTCCTGTACTATGTCTGCAGTCTCTGGTCATCTCTCCTGTACTATGTCTGCAGTCTCTGGTCATCTCCTGTACTATGTCTGCAGTCTCTGGTCATCTCCTGTACTATGTCCGCAGTCTCTGGTCATCTCCTGTACTATGTCCGCAGTCTCTGGTCATCTCCTGTACAATGTCTGCAGTCTCTGGTCATCTCCTGTACTATGTCTGCAGTCTCTGGTCATTTCCTGTACTATGTTTGCAGTCTCTGGTCATTTCCTGTACTATGTCTGCAGTCTCTGGTCATGTCTCTCCTGTACTATGTCTCCAGCCTCTGGTAATGTTCTGTACTATGTCTGCAGTCTCTGGTCATCTCCTGTACTATGTCTGCAGTCTTTGGTCATCTCCTGTAGTATATCTGCAGTCTCTGGTCATCTACTGTACTATGTCTGCTGTCTCTGGTCATCTCCTGTACTATGTCCGCAGTCTCTGGTCATCTCCTGTACTATGTCTGCAGTCTGTAGTCATTTCCTGTACTATGTCTGCAGTCCATTGGTTCAGAACATTTTTTTTCTTGTTTTCCTCCTCTAAAAACTAGGTGCGTCTTATGGAGCGAAAAATACGGTATATATGGATTTTGATTTAAGAGAGACGTTCACGTTTGACACAATGGTGTGAGATTTGACTGGCCTCCGAGCTGTTTCTCCTGAAGCATGCACGCTGGGCGGAGGGCGCATACTTATTCTTTGACAAGGGAAAAAATAAATGACTAGAAGAGGAGAGAGATATCGCCTGACACTTTTGATGCTTGCTGATCCAGAGAGAAAAAAATTGTGATTGTTTCAACAAAAATGTAATCTGCAACACATTACTGTTTGATTTTTAGATGCAACTTGAAGTGGAAGTTCAGATTACTCTATGAACATTAAACAACCATATAACACATGTGCTTTGATAAATCCATAGTACCATGTTTGACTTTTGGCTGTATGTCAGATGTTCTTCAATCTACAATGGAAGCTGCTGACCATTTACCAGCCACACCAAGCAACCCATGGTGTTGATCAGCCTTCCTTGTGCTATCCAAGTCTTTGACAGCAGAGACAAAACATTTCCCAGTCAATGTTTGTAGTCACAAGACATAGATAGCAATAGGGGGGCTGAGCAACATCATGAGTTTTATGGTGTCACTGGGAAATGGTCATCACTTTCCATTGTTGACTAATTGACTTCTATCTAGCTGACTCTGGTTGTCCAACATGGTGCTAGTGTTACACGGCTGTTTAAAATTCACAGAAAATTGTAAGGTAAACTTCCACTTTAAAATATAGTTCATTATTTTTTGAGGAATAAATAACTAGTTTAAAGTATAGTTGTTCATATTTGCCTGGAGTTTTGCTTTAAGTAATTCTGAATTAAAATGGCAGTTACAATTGATGTATTTGGAGGTGTTTGTATGACAAGTAGAAGCACTTGCATGTCTCTACTTTAAGTTCAAAAATCAGCTAAGATCACAGTATTTACCCAACACCAAGTGACTTCCGTGTTTATATATGAAAATCATATATTCACTGTCATGGTCTTTATGCCAACATTTTTAAACATTTCAGTTACTCAGTAAATGGTTCCATAAAAACAATCAAACATACATATAATACATTGTAAAGAATAGATAGATGTGAGCGCCCAATGGAACCAAATAAGTAAAGAAACTGAATAAATTAAATTAAAAGCAGCCAAGCACAAGGTAACCAAGAAAACCTCAAAAAAATATAATAAAACGATGTGCGGCACTAAGATCAAAAAATGTCTATAAGTTAGCATATAAACATAAAATACTGATTATTGATAAATCATATAAAAGTTCATCAGGTGACTATGGTGCTCATTAATCATGCGTCTTCCTGGACCCGGTGGATGTGCATATAGGTGTATAAGCAATGCACACTCACCAGAAAGCGCATGTAAATGCGCGTTAGTAATTAATTTAGATGTCATCAAATGGTCATCATGGGATGATGGTAGGAATCCTAAGCCTTTCCTCTATGGGTGGATGGATTCTGAGGTGTGGATTCACTGGTATCAAGGTCATCCAGAGTTCCCTTTTATGGGATAGGTGGGTGCAGTCCTCTGCGTCTAGTGGAGGCTCCCTCTCTGGATGTTAGGATGGCTGTGAATCAAAAACTCCTCCAGCGGCGGACACTCCTCCCACTCACCCCCCCCGCTCGCACTGCACGTGAAGGGGTCACACACCGTGTATTCAAGAAACAAAAATTGCAGCAACTGAAAAAAGAAAGTGAAATGTGCCTTCCAACCGTTAAGCTACATTCTTCTGAATTTTGTTCTGCAATCTGAGGTGTGCTTTATGGAACAGAATGGGGAGAGATCAGCAGTGGCCTGTAAAATTTTATGTAAAATATAAGAGCAAAATCCTTCATTTTTATGCCTTGCATACATGAGCAACAATATGGTGTGTTGGCATGCATAGGCATTACTATAATTTATAAAACTCTATATCAAAATTTTGATGCCCCCTCCCAAACGAGTTTTCTCTGTGACAGCTGACAATGTCAATTGGGACACTAGTGTAATTAATCCATTAAGAATGTCTAAATCAAGGATAGGCAGTCCTCCCACCCCTTTATTACTCCAGCCAGCAAGTGGTGAACATTGTGATTTAGTATCTATATATTTTTTTTTAATTTGACGTTAATTACATAATTCTGAGTGCTCCAAAAATTCTATAAACGTAATACAAAACTCTTTAAGCTATGGGTTTTCAGAATTACAAACCTCAAATATCATAGCTTTTTAGCTGAGAAGATACTCTGGGATTTTACTGCTTCAAGAATATCGTGTGAGGCACTCAGGGTTAAAGGATAAGTTCACCTTTTTGACTAAAATAATAAATGCACAATTTTTTGCAGATAAAAAAATGTGCATTTATTATTTTTGCCTGCAGGAGCCTGGGAAGCATTGCACCAGTGATCAGTAGATCGCTGATGCCATGCAGGTCTCCTGCAGACTTGTCAGAATATCTGCTTGCCGTACGGGATGTACAGTATGGTCAAGCAGATATTCTGCCAGGAAGATTCAATTAACTACCATGGCGCTCCACAGCGCTGTGGTAGTTCATTGAAAATTACAAGCCCACAGCTGCCAAGGCTGCCAGTACTTGTAGGCACTCATTCACAGAATGTAAATGATGTGGCCGTTTTCAATTCCGACAGATAGTACGGGGAGAAGTTTCCCCGTATTATCTGTCGGGGGCAGCGGGCACGGCTGCAGCTATGAGAGCATGTTACATGCTCCACCCTACAAATATAATGTTCCCAAAGGTGAACTTATCCTTTAATATCAAAGTGCTGGCCAGGATGACCAGAAGCTCTAAAGGCTTCTTTCATATTCACTCCATACCGATTTGTAAATGCACGCAAAATTGCATAGTTTTGTGGGCTTCTACAAAATGTTCAAAATTTGTGTTTCACGTTTGCAATGGCAGTCATTGGTAATATCAAGCAGATACATGGGTTTTTTTTTTGCATGAATATACATGCAGCAAAACACACAGTAAAAAAATCCTCAAAGCTCAAAAGGTGAATGAGCTCCTTTCATGATTCAGTGTCTGATGTCAGCTCTTCTTGAATGGAGACATCAGACAACCTCCCTAGTAGTGGTAAGCTTGCGTTAGCTGTCATTGCTAGGCCAATGAGCTGCAGACTGGAGATTCCCTGCCATACAGCTGATGTACACAAATGGGGCGGAGATGCTTTTGACATCATTGACCTAATATGGGCACTTTTGGGTTTGCACTGAACCCAAGCTCCTCCTACTTCCATGAGGACCCCCTTCCCAACCTCATACAACTCAACAGCCTTGGACTGTCTGTCCCACCTTTGGAGCTGAGTGCCGCTGTCCTTTGGTTTGTGCATTGGTTGAGTCCTGCAAAGTGTCTGCTCCTATACATTGTGTTCACAATGACAATGTATTGATATGCAAATTGATGCACAAGTTTGCATATGAATATGATCAATGTGTAATTTGCATATAAATGACCTCATGGAGCTTACATATGAAAGAGCTAGATTAGCTCCTTCATTTGCAAATCCTGTCTTTGGCTCATTCATATGCAAAGCAGAGGGATACTACTCCTCCATTCCTGTAACATACACAGCTCACTGCCACTACACATAAGATCTCCAGCAACTGGTGGGTGAGTTTAAGGGAAAAGTATCCTGTGCTGGGGTGCGTCTGTACTGTGGGGGGGTCTTTATTGTGGATCTATTCTGGGGAGGTGATCTGTACTGAGAAGGTTGTCTGTATTAGGGGTCTGTACTAAGAAGGTGGTCTTTACTGGGGAGAGGAGATGGTCTGGACTAGGGGTCTGTTCTGGTAGTCTGTACTGAGGATGTGGTGTGTACTAGGGGTCTGTACCGAGGAGGTGGTCTTTTCTATATTGAGGCTCAATACTGGGGAGGTGGTCTGCGCTAAGGAGGTGATCTGCACTGAGGAGGTGGTCTGTGTTAGGGGTCTGTACTAAGAAGGTGGTCTTTACTGGGGAAAGGAGATGGTCTGCACTAGGGGTCTGTACTAAGGAGGTGGTCTGTTCTGGTAGTCTGTACTGAGGATGTAGTCTGTATTGGGGGTCTATACTGAGGAGGTAGTCTGCACTGAGGAGGTGGTCTGTTTTGGTAGTCTGTACTGAGGGGGTGGTCTGCACTGAGGAGAGGGTCTGCACTGGGGGTCTGTACTGAGATGGTGGTCTGTACGAAGGAGATGATCTGCACCGGGGGTCTTTACTGAGGAGGGGATCTGTACTGAGATGATAGTCTGTACTGGGGGTCTGTACTAAGAAGGTGGCCTATACTGAGGAGAGGAGATGGTCTGCACTGGGGGTCTGTACTGAAGGGGTGGCCTGTTCTAGTGGCCTGTACTGAGAAGGTGGCCTGTACTGAGGAGAGGAGGTGGCCTGTACTGGGGGTCTGTACTGAGGAGGTGTGTAAGAGGGGTCTGTACTGCGGATGTGGTCTGTACTGACCCCTGCACTTTGTGCACCATGCACTCCAAACCCCTGCACCCCTGTGTAGTTGCCTGAGCCCTGAAGCCAATGCATTATGCACTCTACTGATTTTTCTGCTGACTGCTGCAACACCTTTTCAGATACAATGTGGTTCTCTAAATAGTTCATACCAAATGTGTTACTCTGTGTTGTTTTGCATTGTATTCTCTGCAAAAAAACTTTGGGTTTGCCACTGTACTTTAAATCACACCATATGACCACACCCACTTTCAACTGGCCACACCCACTCCACAACCTGAATTCCTCCCCTTTACAAATTGTCCCTCTGTGTCAAGTTCAAAAGTTGGTCAAAAGTATGTAACATTGGCTTCCATGACAGTCCCATGGGCTGCTATGGCTATAGTTACACCACTGCCAGCATGCAATCTAAATGCTTGCAAAGCCCCTCCTGATGCGTGCACATAGAGCATAATAAAGTGTGTACAGTCTAAAGTTTTTTTTTTAGATATCCAGTAAGTATAAAAACTTTCCATCTATAGTTTGGAATTATAAGTACATGTACATAATGGCAGCCATATTTTCTGATTACAAACGTAGGTTCTGCTTCCTGCATCTCTTTCTTTGTCTCGCAATGCAAGCCAGTTAGTCAGGGGACGCCTTGAAAACAGCCTATGTGATTGAATTCTTACCTCCGCAATTGTTAACAGAATGAAGCAGGGAGGCTTCTACATCTCTGGGGCTCGAACAGCAGCCCAAGGGCCGCATGTGGCCCTTTAATATATGATGAGCCACCCTCGGACCTTAGCAGTCTCTAGCAGGAACATCGATTAGGATAATCCAACACAACAAACACTTTTCTCCTGCACTAGGAAAGGACTCAGTAGACCCAATAGGAATGTTCTGGAATTTTCTGGAATATGCACTGCTTGCTGCCCTCAACAGACCGGGGTGGTCCAAATACACTAGATGCAAATGGAGAAAGGGCTCTGAGGAAGAGGTTGTGTCCTCGAAACGCATTAGCCAGTTGGTCATCCAGGGTTCCATCGTATGGACTCAGATGTTGTTTGGATCATACCGTATTTTCCGGAGTATAAGACGACTTTTTAACCCATGAAAATCTTCTCAAAAGTCGGCGGGTCGTCTTATACGCCGGTATACGGCGTGCTGACACTTCCGAGCTGGTGTCAGGGTAACACTTTTAGGGGGGGGCGGCGCGGTGCTGCTGCCGCCCCCCCTTCCAACGGAAGGGACACTAAGTACAGGGGCGGGCAGGGGGCCGCTGTTTCTTACCTGGCTCTGGTCCCAGTCCCACGACGATCCAGTCCAGGAAGCGCGGCTGCTCCTTCATTCAGTTCGGCCACTCGATGTTCGCGCGGCCGCTCGGCTCCGCCTCATCACCGGTGATTGGGCGCCAGAACTGTAGCTCAGGAAAGGCACACAGGCGGCCAATCACCGATGAGGAGGCGGAGCCGAGTGGCCCCACAAAAATCGAGTGAGGGAGTGGCCGGTAAGTGTGCCGTGCAGATGGTGCTGCTGCAACCACGTATGCTGGCTGCAGCAGCACCATGCTGGAACAGGGGTCAGCAAGTGTCATTGGTGTCAGTGGGAGGAATAGTGCCCCATCATTGGTGTCACTGATACTAATCATGGGGGATTATTCCTCCCACTGACACCAACGATGGGGCACTATTCCCCCCCCCCCCCCACTGACACCAACGATGGGGCACTATTCCTCCTCCCCACTGACACCAACGATGGGGCACTATTTCCCCCCCCCCACTGACACCAACGATGGGGCACTATTCCACCCCCCACTGACACCAGTGATGGAACACTATTCCTTCCCCCACTGACACCAATGATGGGGTACTATTCCTCCCACTGACACCAATGTTGGGACACTATTCCTCCCACTGACACCAATGGCGGGGCACGATTCCTCCCACTGCCACCAAAGATGGGGCACTTTTCCCCCCACTGATACCAATGATGGGGCACAATGATGGAGCACTATTCCTCCCACTGATACCAATGATGGGGCACTATTCCTCCCACTGATACCAATGATGAGGCACTATTCCCCCCACTGATACCAATGATGGGGCACTATTCCTCCCACTGATACTAATGATGGAGCACTATTCCTCCCACTGACACCAATGATGGGGCACTATTCCTGCCACTGACACCAACGATGGGGTACTATTCCTCCCACTGATACCAATGATGGGGCACTATTCCTCCCACTGATACCAATGATGGAGCGCTATTCCTCCCACTGGTACCAATGATGGGGTACGATTCCTCCAACTGACACCAATGATGGGGTGCTATTCCTCCCACTGACACCAATGATGGGGCACGTTTTGTCGCTCTGACACCAATGATGGGGCACTATTCCTCCCACTGACACCAATGATGGGACACTATTCCTCCCACTGACACTGATGGAGTACTATTTCTCCCGCTGACACTAATGATGGGACACTTCCTCACACACTGATACTAATGATGGGGCACCATCATTGGTGTCAGTGGGAGGAATAGTGTCCAATCATTGGTGTCAGTGGGAGGAATAGTGCCCCATCATTGGTGTCAGTGGGAAGAATCGTGCCCCTTCATTGGTGTCAGTGGGAGGAATAGTGCCCCATCATTGGTGTCAGAGCGAGGAATCGCGCCCCATCACTGGTGTCAGTGGGAGGAATAGTGCCCCATCATTGGTGTCAGTGGGAGGAATAGTGCCCCATCATTGGAATACTATACTGAAATACCATACCATATTGAAATCAAATCTGATGTTTTTTAATTTTTATTTGGTGTGCGTTGGAAGAGGGGTAGTCTTATACGGCGAGTATAGCCCAAACCCTATATTTTAACAGGAAAAGTAGGGGGTCGTCTTATACGCCCAGTCGTCTTATATGCCGGAAAATACGGTACATCTTGTTCAGTTTGACATGCCTGTGTTTTTATGTCTATTGTAAGTATGATACTTACTTTGTTTCTTCAATAAATATTTTAAACGATAATGCACTAGGTCGGTGCGCCCTTTTTCTGTTTCTCCATTTGCATCTATTGATTAGGGTAATAGCACTGATCTCTACCAGCCTCAAGTAACACATTCCCAGTTTCTTATTGTCTTCTGCAGCACATCTCCAACTGAAAATATAGCATGTCCACACTCTCAGAAACTACACATTTTAACAGAGGAAACGAGAGTCAGTCTTCTCAAGCATTACATACTGTATATTGAACATTTATGCGTGACCCTTTGGTTTTGTAGAGGGTCACATCTGAGGTCTCCTTGAGCTCATAAGTTGACACGGAACTATATTGAACCACTGGGATCTCTTTCAGTAGGCTAACCTACAAATCTCCACATTAATTGCAATAAGAAAACCATAATGCTGCAACCATGTAAAAATGTTTAAGTCTGATGAAAAATAATTTCTAAAAGACACTTAAATCATTTTTACAAAAGTTCTTTCTTAAAACAGACTACTAGTCCCTTTTTAAATTCTTACTGCATACTAAGTTTGAACTCTATCACTTGTTTTTTCAGTTTGGCTACTTAGTTGGGAGAACAGTTGGAAGGCTCTGCTGTAAATAAGGATTACTATATAGCAGGGGTGTCCAAACTTTTTTGGAAGAGTGCCAGATTTGATGAAGTGAACATGTGCGAGGGCCGACCATTTTGCCCGACATTCTGATGAACCATTAACATTAAATGCAAATGAACTATTTTATGCAAAAGTTTATTGAAAACGGCATACTTTTCATTTTGTGACTTGGATGACAAATCTAAACAGGTGTTAAATCACTCTGCCAGCACAGGGAGAAGGAAAGCCCAAATCTCGCGAGATCTCGGAGGTCGCGAGATTTGGGCTTTGTTTCTCCTTGCACTGTCTGATGACATCAAGCGATCCTGAGCACCAATCCATTATAGCCCAAATTGATACCGTATTTTTCGCTCCATAAGACGCACCTGACCATAAGACGCACCTAGGTTTTAGAGGCGAAAAACAGGAAAAAAAAAATTCTGAACCAATGGACTGCAGACATAGTACAGGAGATGGCCAGAGACTGCGGACACAGTACATGAGATGACCAGAGACTGCGGACACAGTACAGGAGATGACCAGAGACTGCGGACACAGTACAGGAGATGACCAGAGACTGCGGACACAGTACAGGAGATGACCAGAGACTGCGGACACAGTACAGGAGATGACCAGAGACTGCGGACACAGTACAGGAGATGACCAGAGACTGCGGACACAGTACAGGAGATGACCAGAGACTGCGGACACAGTACAGGGGATGACCTGCGGACACAGTACAGGAGATGACCAGAGAGAGACTGCGGACACAGTACAGGAGATGACCAGAGACTGCGGACACAGTACAGGAGATGACCAGAGACTGCGGACACAGTACAGGGGATGACCAGAGTCTGCGGACACAGTACAGGAGATGACCAGAGACTGCGGACACAGTACAGGAGATGACCAGAGACTGCGGACACAGTACAGGAGATGACCAGAGACTGCGGACATACTACATGAGCTGACCAGAGACTGTGGACATACTACATGAGATGACCAGAGACTGCGGACACAGTACAGGGGATGACCAGAGTCTGCGGACACAGTACAGGAGATGACCAGAGACTGCGGACACAGTACAGGAGATGACCAGAGACTGCGGACACAGTACAGGAGATGACCAGAGACTGCGGACATAGTACAGGGGATGACCAGAGTCTGCGGACACAGTACAGGAGATGACCAGAGACTGCGGACACAGTACAGGAGATGACCAGAGACTGCAGACATAGTACAAGGGATGACCAGAGTCTGCGGACACAGTACAGGGGATGACCAGAGTCTGCGGACACAGTACAGGAGATGACCAGAGACTGCGGACACAGTACAGGAGATGACCAGAGACTGCAGACATAGTACAAGGGATGACCAGAGTCTGCGGACACAGTACAGGGGATGACCAGAGTCTGCGGACACAGTACAGGAGATGACCAGAGACTGCGGACACAGTACAGGAGATGACCAGAGACTGCGGACATAGTACAGGAGATGACCAGAGACTGCGGACATAGTACAAGGGATGACCAGAGTCTGCGGACACAGTACAGGGGATGACCAGAGTCTGCGGACACAGTACAGGAGATGACCAGAGACTGCGGACACAGTACAGGAGATGACCAGAGACTGCGGACATAGTACAGGAGATGACCAGAGACTGCGGACACAGTACAGGGGATGACCAGAGACTGCGGACATAGTACAGGAGATGACCAGAGACTGCGGACACAGTACAGGAGATGACCAGAGACTGCAGACATAGTAAATAATGGTAAATGGTAGCCCCAGTAGTAATTCCCTGCGCACCACCTGGGATCACTCGGCCCACGTTCCGGACCCCACAGATGAGCTGCCCAATATATAACTTACGGCCCTCCACTAGCGATTCTGCGAACGCCACTGAGGACTCCAGGGATCTGTCGAGCGGGAATTGACGTCATCAGCCGGCACACAGAGAAGGAAAGCAGAAATCTCACGAGATCTCGGACGTCGCGAGATTTGGGCTCTCCTTCCTGCACCAGCTGATGATGTCAAGAGATCGCTGGAGTCCTCAGTAGCTTTCAGGGAATCACTACCGGGGGCCGTAAGTTATGTATTTGGGTAGCTCACCTGTGGGGCCGTTTCAGTCTGGAATGCGGGCCGCAATTGGCCCGCGGGCCGGACTTTGGACATGCCTGCTATATAGTGATTAAATAAAGCTTCATAGAATTAACCGTTTGTGATATGCAAGCTGCGGACCCATTCAGGGGTGTCAAACTGGCGGCCCTCCAGCTGTTGCGAAACTGTAAGTCCCATCATGCCTCTGCCTTTGGGAGTCATGCTTGTAACTGTCAATCTTGCGATGCCTCATGGGACTTGTAGTTTGGCAACAGCTGGAGGGCCACCAGTTTGACACCCGTGCATGATTAGATAATACCTGTTCTCCAGTTTCTAATGGCAGAACTGTGTATATAACTATAAATAAAGCATATTAACAATTTTGTTGACATTTCTGAAACTGTGAGGCTATTAATGTGGAAATTAGCCCATATTTTAAACTGTCAGAATAAACTGATCAGTGCTGTCAGCTATGCTGGCAGCAAAGATTGATCAGGAAAAACCCCACAGGGTGGATGTTCAGAAGTCAATTGGAAGAACCACTTGTGTACAACAAACTTGCCCATACACATATCGAAATTGGACCAGTCCCTGCTGAATTGTTCGAATTTCATTCAATGTATGGCTGGCTTAAGTCTATGGGCCCATTTATACAGTTGTGGTGCACTGGAACATAATGTATGCATGTTTGTCCAATGTGTACTGTCTTAATTCAGCCTATTGGTTGCTGTCATGCAAATATCAACAATGGTAGTCAATGATTAGTCAATGCCACTGATTAAACACTATTGATGTTTACATGTTGATCCTGAATGACCACCAACATCCTAGCTACCAAGGACGCTAAGCGCAGGAGTCAACTGTGTCATAGCAACCAAGGACACTAGGCTGTAGTCGGCCCTAGCAATTACACCGCTTTCATATTTATGCGATGCGGTATGACCGCACCATGGGAGCAGCACAGCTTACCCACGCCATGTGTTTGGAGCAGGTTAGTTGCACTTTCCCATAGAATTCTATTGTGTCACATGGTTATGTGCGCTTTCTGAAAGTGCACCCAAAACTCCTGCATGCCGCATCTTTGGTGTGCTTTCAGAAAGCGCGTCAAACATGCAGGACACAATAGAACTCTATGGGAAAGTGCAGCTAACCTGCACCAAACACACAGGTAAGTTGTGCTGCTCCCCCATCAATGTGGAAGCAGCCATATAGATACTAGGCTGTAGAAGCTACCGGTGACCTAGCAACCAAGGAGACTAGGCGGCAGCAGCCATCTGCGTCCTAGCAAACAGACGCAAGGCAGTAGAAGCTACCGGTGACCTAGCAACCAAGGAGACTAGGCGGGCAGCAGCCATCTGCA